GGGAGGCTGAGAAATAAAACGGGGGAGGGGGTCACGTGACAAGAGTGATGCGAGAAGACTGACACTATATGATGGCGGATTCAAAGCGAAACTTTTGTTAATAAAACTTTCATTTATTTATGAACATTATTTATTTTGTATTACATATTGTTCATTCATTTATTTTTAACACCGCACCCCCAGCACCCCAATTTTTTCTTGGGCTACACTCCAGGGGGTGCTGCAGCACCCTCAGCACCCCTACTTCCCGCGGTAATGGACCTGCACCTCCATTAATATTGGCACCCTTGGTAAATATGAGAAAAGGCGGCTGTTGAAATAAATCTGCATTATTATTATTTTTTTAATCTTTTATTAAAAAAATTCACAAAAACTTTAATTGAAGTAAAACAACTGAAAGTGAGGTGAAAATCTCATTATGAAATAAATGTTTTCTCCAATGTATGTTGGCCACAATTATTGGCACCCCTAGAAATTCTGATGAGTAAAATATCTCTTAAGTATATTCCCATTCATATTTACATTTTTTAGCTAACCAGGGTGACTATAGAGCATGAAATTGTCCAGCCATGACTTCCTGTTGCACAGAATTATAAATATGAGGAACACATAGGCCAAATTCCTTTAATCATCCATCACAAGGAGTAAAACCAAAAAATATAGTTCTGATGTGCAGAACAAGATTGTTGAGCTTCACAAAATATAAAGTGGCTGTAAGAAAAGAGCTAAATCATTGAAAATCCTCATTTCCACCATCAGGGCAATAATTAAGAAGTTCCAATCAGCTAAAGATGTTATGAATCTGCCTGGAAGAGGATGTGTCTATATCGTCCTAATGAGGAGGAGAGTTTGAGTGACCAAAGACTCTCCAAGGATCACAGCTGGAGAATTGCAGAGATTAGTTGAGTCTTGGGGTCAGAAAGCCTAAAAAAAAAATCAAACAGCCCCTACATCACCACATGTTGTTCGGGAGGGTTTCAAGAAAAATTCTCCTCGCTCATCCAAAAACAAACTCCAGCATATTCAGTTGTAAGACACGACTGGAACTTCAAATGACACTGGCTTCTATTGTCAGATAAAACTAAAAAAAGAGCTTTTTGGCAGCAAACCCACCAGATGGGTTTAGTACAAACAGGGATAAAAATTACCCCAGGCCGTCCCAGTCCTCTGACCTGAACCCTATTGAAAATGAGTGGGGTGAACTGAAGAGAAGAAGCACCAACATGGAGCTGTGAATCTGAAGGATCTAGAGAGATTCTGAATGAAGGAATGGTCTCTGGTTTCTTATCAGGTGTTCTCCAAACTTTACAGGCATTATAGGAGAAAGCTGTTATCTTGGGAAAAGGACGTTGCAATAATTGGGTGCCAATAAATGTGGCCAACGTGAACTAGAGAAAGCATTTCACAATGAGATTTTCTCCCCACTTTCAATTGATTTACTTCATTGATAGGTTAGAATTTTGTGAACTTTTTGAATGAAAGATCAAAAGGATAAACAATGCAGATTTATTTTCACAGCCGTCTTTGCTCATATTTACCAAGGGTGCCAATATTAGTGGAGGGCACTGTAGATAGATAGATGTTACTGTAATACTTTATGTAACTGTAATGAAAATAACCTTACAATGCAAACTGAAGAACTACAGAAGAAATTGTCCAAACATAGGCTTCATTTTCTTTTTCCATAACTTCTTTTTCTTTTGATTATGTGTTTTACACTGACACGTCTGGCGGGTTCTCACCTTCAGCACCTGCTCTAGGTTCTCCAGTTTGCCTTGGAGCTCAGTCCTCTCCAACAGAGCGCAATCTCTCTCCACTGTCACAGTGTACAGAGCCTCCTGCAGCTGTTCATACTCACTTTTCACCTGATAAAGAGAGAGAGAGAGAAAGAGGCAGAGATTAATCGAGAGTGTCTTACACAGTTTGCCCTCCGACCTCTGTTAGAAATATGAAAGGTCATTCTATCCTCCCAAAAAACACACATCAGAGCCATGGCCGATTGGTTTGCGCACATGTTTGACACACTGGTACTCATGCAAATGACACATTTCAAAGTCCCGTTCCCCCATCATTCCCTGTTCTCTGTCCACATAAAAATAAAAAATAAAAAAATGAAGTGTGATTTTATTGCATTAATGTCACAAGGATAAAACAGAACAAGTTTAACTATTAAGGTGAGAGTTGAAACCAGTAGTTATGAGTGTCAAACTGTCTGTGTTGGTTGTCTTTGGATCTGTTTGAAATCATGTATGAATAAGACCATCTGGACCCACGTGGCCACAAGCCTAATAGATGAAACTATCAGCATGCTTTCATAAACAGCAGGGTCTGAGAGGGCAGCACTGTTACCTATAAGAGGTTTCCCCAAAGGATTCAATGCTATTAAATACTCTGATCAATTGAAAATGACATATTCTGTTTGTCTTTATCCACTGATATGTGATATACGGAGTATGTGTAGTCAGCACTGAGCTCTGGGGTGAGAGTCGTGTTTTTAGACAGCGAGAGCAGAGGGGTTGATGTCCTGTATCGATCGCAGCATCAGTCATGATAAAAAGCTGAGCTGTCAGAGACAGAGGCAGTACTCACACTCCACGCCTGTCCAGTCTGACACTCATCTCTTATCTGCAACCTGACCTGAAGTGAACACCCACTGCAATAGCAATTACAGCTGAATACGCTTGTTCTAGAGGAAATATGTTTGACCTATTACACTTGTATTGTTGATTCTTATGACATTCAACCGGCATGTTGTTGGATAGTGATGGTGGTGTTGAGCAAATGACCTTCATGTACAAATTAAAGAGAACATTTAATCAAAATTGACCATACTTCCTGTGGCGAGGGGGGCGTGGTTCAGCGAAGTCTGCAGCGGGAGAGAGGGACGGGAGACGAGCGGTGAGTAAGTAGGTCAAGTGCAAAATGATGAACACCTGTGTCTGATTGCAGTAATTAGCCTGGAGAGACCGGATAAGAGGCAGACTGGAGAGCGTGGTTGAGAGAGAGAGATGGGGACTCGTGGCCATCCCTTAGCCGGAGAAGGAGAACCGGCAGAACTGAGTTTATGCCCTGGGCAGATTGAGAACGTGCTGGAAGTGCCACTTTTGTGTTGTTGTTTAACTTTAAGTGAATGAATAAAAGATCCACGAGTCTCCAACCACCCACCTGAGCCACTTCCTTCTTCCCACTACGAACTTTGCTACACTTCCTTTTAATAAATGTTTTTTTTAATGTGACATTATGATTGTCAGGATCATTGACTGTCTGTGTCATGTTTTGCCCCTGTTTCTGTTCCCTTATTTGGTCATGTTCCTGTCCTCGTTTTGTTAATTAGTTTGATTAGTCATCCCATACACCTGTGTTTCCCCAATCATCCCCTGTATTTAAGTCCTAGTCTGTCTCGGTCGGTTCTACTTGTTATGTTCATGTCTTTCCTGCCGTTCCCAGTGTTGGATGTACCCTGTGTTTCTTGGATTAAAGACGGTTTCGTTTATTCCTCGTCGCCATCGTTCCTCGCCATCACTGATTGTGACAATGATGTTGGAATAAAAAATGTTTTTATAATCGTATGTGAAAATTCAATAACTTTCTCCACCTTTGAAACAACTTCTTCTGCCAATACCAAGGCCATGAGGGCAGGTAAAAAAATTAATTTAATAATTTCATGATTCAGCTCTATCTAATCAAAGTCCTGGTTTATTTTCAGCTTTACATAGCATGCTGTTTAAGGCACTGTGCACCCTGTTTATGAGGCAGTTTAATTTACATTGTGAAAATTAGCATACTTTTAAGGGAACATTCATTCTAAAGTGCAAGGGAAAACTACAGACACAGATTAAGCCTGGTCCTAAATGAAAGGATTTTAAATGGAGAAAACTAATTTACTCAGTAATTCAGTTGACGTCTTATGTCAAGGTCTTATGTGCACTTAGGAACAGTGTTTTTTAGTATCACTGAGATACCATTATAGTTTTTATTAATATTTTGAAATAGTTTTTTATTTTTTTTTTCTGTTTCAATTTTATTATTGTCTTTTAATGTGTCTATGGTTTTTATTTTTTTTTTTAAATGCGTTTTAAATGCAATTTCTTAAATCAGTTATCTTTATCAGGGTATTACATATATAAAAAAAAATGAAATAAAATAAAATGAAATAAATTTTAACCTCAATGTCCTAAATCAGTAGTCTTTATCGGGGAACCATTACTATTTGATCACAATTATTTTTGTACTAAATATTACAAGATAGAATGGGTAGGTATTAAGAAATAGTGAAAGCACTCTTTTCTCACTTTAATTTTTATAAAAGAGTCAGCAGTATGCAGTTAAGTGCGCATGGAAGAGATGATTTTGTCAGGGACTCGGCTGTCTGGACAAGGTTAGGAAGATCATTCCACCAGCAAGGAACAACTTTGAATGGCTTTGCGGTGTAAGCTTCACACCAAAAAATGCTATAATATGCATGTTATTATAGGCCAGGTGTGAAATACAACGGTTAATTCTCTGGCAACCTCTGCCTGCCTGCCAAAGGGTCAAAACATTGAAGGCACTCATCTATAATGGTCCTCCTCTGCTATCCAGTAATGCTGCCTGAGCCACAAACAGACTGGATAGACACAAGTTGTGTAGATGGAGCAGCTGCCATCTTGATGACTGCCATTTCTGAGCGCTGGGACAGAGGTGTAGATTCAATGATGTCTCACTCTGAAACAGCTATTTGAGATGGAGGGGGAAGAGTGGGGGGTAAACTCACAATAAGTGATGCATGAAGGACCATTCTTTTCAAGCAAGAGCAGTCTCACATGACTCAGACGTCACACCATTACAGCTCTCAGTTTAGCATCGTAACATAAGCTGTTTGTGCATGCTATAGTCCCAATGTTGGCCAATATATTAAGCCTTATTGAATCTCTGCAGGCTGTACATACACTACAGTATCTGTCAAAATCTTTTAAAAAGATACATTAAAGCAAGTTCTAACAATTGTGATCTTAATTTTTGTTGGTTGTGTCATTTGATTGTAAATACTTTGCAGCTAAGTATATTATATTGCGGCAGAGCGGAAGCTATATATACAAAATAATAATTAAAATGTCAAACTAAGAATTTGCTTTTCATTTGTTTATTTTCAGTATCACCCTGGAATTTTTTATTTTACACCTCCCAAACAATATCAAAATGAAGTTTAATGCAGAAGTTAAATTTGATTAGAAGATGTATATTAAAGTCACTCTATGTATGAACTGCAATTTTAATGTGTTTTAAATTAGTAGACAGGAAAGTAAAATTTAGCCTCCCTGCTTCCACTCTTCTGGGAAGGTTTTCCGCTAGATGTTGAAACACAGCTGCGGGGATTTACTGTCATTTCCTCTCAAGTTCTCCTATGAGTTGTACTCCTGTATAAGAAGTTTCTTTCTTCTGTTAAACACCAAGGAAGATATTTTGAAGAATGCTGGTAACCAAACATTAGACGGTAGCCATTGACTTCCATAGTAAATTTTCCATTCTATGGAAGTCAATGGCTACCGTCATTGTCCATGAGACATCAGTGGTTCAACTGTAATGGTACTCTTGTGAACGTGTGTCGAAGACTGAGACGGAAGAGAAGAAATTGTTGAATAAAGTCGTTATTTTTGTTTTCTTTGGGCACAAAAGGTATTCTCGTAGCTTCATAATTTTGAACCACTGATGTCACATGGACTATTTTAATGATGTCCTTACTACCTTTCTGGGCCTTGAACATGTCAGTTGCGTTGCTGTCTATGCAGGGTCAGAAAGCTCTCGGATTTAATCAAATATCTTAATTTGTGTCCTGAAGATGAACGAAGGTCTTATGGGTTTGGAACGATACGAGGGCGAGTAATTAATGACAGAATTTTCCTTTTTGGGTGAAATATCACCTTAAGCAAGACAAATGCATACAGTATGTTGCTAGAACTCAAACCATAAACTATGGAAAGTGTTATACTTCATTACTTATAAATATCCCATTTATAGACCTCCTGATGATTTTGAATTACTGGGGTTCCTTTATTTATGCTGTCTTTTCTTTCTCTCCCTTTTTCTTTCCTCTGTATTGCTATCGGCCTCAAAGGTACTGCATTCATAAATGACTAATGAGGGAGTAGGGATCCTGTTTTGCAACAGCGTTTGACAACACACCTACTCGGACGTTTCGGACACAGCCTACCTTCAAACAGCTCAGCAGGAGGACACTGCTCTGCCAAGATGTGCCTCCAACTAAACACTGACACAGACATGACTAAAAGATGAACTATAAGCAGGCTATAGGGGTGCTGATGCTAGCAGGCATAAATCTGAAATAATGGATCACACTTGCAGATGTGAGACGGAACTAGGGGAGATCAGAAAAATGCACATCCAAGACTAAACTAGATGATTATAGTTCACAGGTGCAGCATCGGAAGACATAAGCAATGGAGCCCAATGAATACATGCTGCTGTATTAAATGATTATAGCAGACCATTTAACAGAAAATTAATAAATAAATATAGTTCAGCATAAACAAGTCTGGAATACTTAAACATTATTTACTGTTGTTGAAAGAAGTCCCTTATATCTGACAATTCATAATAACTGTTTTATATTTGAATATATATATATATACCCACAAAATTATTCTAATATGCCGATTTGCTGCTCATAAAACATTTCTTATTATCAATGTTCAAAATAGTTTTGCTGCTTAATATTTTTGTGGAAACCATGATACACTACCATTTAAAGGTTTGGGATAAAATAAAATGAAATATAACAAAAAGAAGAAACAAAAAGGATGTATGAAATTAATCAAAAGTGACAGTACGAGCATTTATAATGTTATAACATTTTTATATTACAAATAAATACTGTTCTTTTAAATTTCCTAATCAAGGAATAATTAAAAAATGACAATTTCCACAAAAATATTAAGCTGTTTTCACATATTTAAATGTAAATAAATGCTGTTGTTTAAATTTTCTATTCATCAAAGAATAATGAAAAAAATTATCATAATTTCCACAAAAATATGAAGCTGTTTTCACATATTCAAATGTAAATAAATGCTGTTGTTTAAATTTTCTATTCATCAAAGAATAATGAAAAAAATTATCATAATTTCCACAAAAATATGAAGCTGTTTTCACATATTCAAATGTAAATAAATGCTGTTGTTTAAATTTTCTATTCATCAAAGAACGATGAAAAAAGTATCATGATTTCCACAAAAAAATATTAATCTGTGTTCTCAATAATAAGATCCATTGTTGATTGAGTAAGGGATAATGTACATCCAGCCGGTTGTTATCTCAGAATAAACCCCTTCAGGCTGATACAAGACCTGATCACTCTGTCGCAGCAGCTGCGTTTGTATGAAACGAGAGCGAGTCCGCGATACCAGGATGACATAATTAAATAATTGTACACTATTTTGAATCGAGTTTTAATATTCTATTAGCTAAACAAACGCAAAGCTTCCACCAAGAAAAAAAAAACGTTCATAGCAAGAGTAGGGCGCCGACTTCAGTTACCCGGATGAGCCTGTGTTATCAGCTTTCACCGGTTGTTATCGAGGGATAACATACCTCGGAATGTCGCGACTGACCAATCAGAATCAAGTATTCCACAGAGCCGTGTAATAAATACCAATAATAACTGATCATAACTGACCCCCCCCCCCCCCCAAAAAAAAATTATGAGCAAAACATTTTATATTTACAGATCAGTTGTTATCTAGCACTAAAGTATATTAATGAGGAATGACATTTATGCTTTTGGTTCAAAGACTGCAGTGTCTGGTAACAAGAACATAAGTGATATGTTGTGCTGTTTATGTGAGTAATATATGTCTGTTTGATGGCAGCTATGGTCCATCAGTGCCGTGACAAACCAGCACTTGTAAACACGCTGCTGCTCAAGCATGAATCCAATCACATTTTTTTCTATAAAATTCTGCTATTACAAGAATGTAATATCTGCCAGTTCCAGAGAGCAGCACTTCTTCATATCCACTCTTCCGATGTGACAGACCCTTGAAGAAAAGTCTTCAATAGATATACTGTGTTACACACAAACATACACGCCACAAACTGACTTACAATGTCTTGTTCAACAATGTTTCTTGACGCTGTCATAAACCGGTCCTTCAGGAAATTGCTTTTCCATGACTACACACAAAAGACCCTCACCTCAAGATCAACATCACAAGCGATATCAACTTCACTATCCAGGAAATTACATTTTTACCCCTTAAGGACCAACACACAGGCACACAGACTATACAGAGCAGACACATACAAATTGTGGATTAGAAACCCCCAAAAATATAATTATACCAAGAGATAAAAGGAAGTAGAAATGTGCCCTTTGACTCAGGAACGCTATTACGATATTATGAACCAAAGCATAATTAAACACTGTGTATCTGAATACTGCACTATTGTAGATGAAAAAAAAAAAACGTTGAAAGACTCGAACCAGGGTCATTATCGTTACCAAAAACTAAAATATTTTAATAACTAGCAGCAAAATAAACGGTAATAATAAAAATTAAAAAAATTATTTTATTTCTGCTACTTGCCAAGACAACATTTCTCATTTTTTGTTTCATTTATCTTAAAAGTACTAAAGTAACTAAAACTAAATAAACAAAAACTAATAACTAAATAAAATGATAACAAATTATGTAACTCAGTAACAGTAAAAAAAAAATCATGAAAATGTCAAAACATTGCTAAATTACTAAAAATGTAACTAAAATCAAGTGAAAACAAAATATAAAAATAAAACTTATTTAAAAATATTAAAAACTACAGTAGTATATCAATGACACTAAAATAACAATAAAATAAAATAATGACTTGGAAATCTAAAGCTAATATTACATAATAAAATGCAGATACATTATTTAACAAGGTACAATATGGCTGCCCAGACCCATTTTACACATGGATGTGAACACATGGAAAGAGACATTTGTCAAAGGATTAACTTGGATTCAAGAAGGAGCACTGCTCATCTCAGCTCAGTCACTTTCATGGTATTTGCTGTCATTATCTGAGACGTTAAATCATTTTGCGATTTAGCACAGACTCTTTTGACTGTTAAAAGTCACATATTAAAGTACTAACTGCACAACCTTCTTACTGCTGACAGATATTTAGGATCCACAGTGAGCTTATGGCCAATGGAGAGTCAATTCAGAAAATTTACTGGCTACAAATTATTAATGCCGGTCAAGAAAGTGTACTTTGCATTTTTTTTTTGATAAAAAAAAAAAACATTTGCCCTGGCATTACCATTCGAAGTTTGGAAAAAGTACGACTTTTTAATTTTTTTGAAAGAATATAATGCTTACCAAGGCTACATTTATTTAATCAAAAATACAGTAAAAACAGTAACATTGTGAAATATTATATTTTAAAACAGAAACTATTTTAAAATATAATTTATTCCTGTGATGTCCAAGCTGAATTTTCAGAAGCCATTTCTTCAGTGTCACATGATCCTTCAGAAATCATTCTAATAAGCTGATTTGCTGCTCAAGATACATTTACTATTACAATCAGCTGAAAGCAGCTGTGCTGCTTAATATTTTTGAGGAAATCATGACACATTTTTTCTGGATCCTTTGATGAAAAGAAAGTTCAAAAGAGCATCATTATCTGAAACAGAAATCTTTTGTAACATTCTAAATGTCTTTACTGTAACTTGTGAGCAATATAATGCATCCTTGATGATTTTTAATGAATTATTATTAATTTAGACAACAAAAAATTAATAATAATTAACAACAAAAAATGTTACTGTCCACAAACTTTTGAATGGTAGAGCATAAATATTTTTGTATGACAATAAATAAATAAATAAATTAGTACTGTCAATCGATTAAAAAAAATTAACGAATTAATCACACATTTTTTCTGAAATCACGAAATATAAAAATATACTTTTATATTGCAATAGTTTCACATTCAATCTTCAACTTAATGTACAAACAACATAAAGACACTATATTTTTAATATTTGTTTAAAGAGCAGGTCATTTGGTTTTTTAAAGTGTCCTAATATTGTGTTGGAGTCCCCTACAACAGGTTTAAATGCATCTAAGGTCAGAAAACACTGTAATTTTCCCAGAATATACATTTATACATAGAGTCATTTGTCCATGATTTCGAAACGGTTCGTTCGATTCAGTTCTAAGCGAAATGTCTGTAAACCCCTCCCTTCCATAAGCCTACTCTGCTCTGATTGGTCAGCTGGCCAAGCCTGTTGTGATTGGCACAAAGAGGAGCGCTTGATCAAGTTAGCGAACGCTACCATCTGTGTTGCCAAGTCCGCGGTTGTTTTTGATGTCACGGGTTGTAGGGACCCCAATAACGTCATATTTAGGCACTGGAATGCGAATTTACCAGGGGAACCCCGACTGAAAGCATGTATTTTACACCCCAGAAGCGATTTTTAAAGGGGGACCACCCTCGAAACACGATTGGGCTAGTTTTGAGTAGCAATTGGGAAGGTTTTGTTGTGACAACCTGGCAACCCTAGCATGCACCTTTACATAAAACAATAATATAGTGCTCCAATCAATTCTTAAAATAATGAAATAAAAACATTTTGTTTAACACTTATGCAAGCGAATCGTACCCACAGTTAAAGTTTAGCTGCTAAACTGTAAACACTTAACAAAACAATAATTATTAAACGAAGTAATTAGAACAACGACAGTCTACATATTAATCGACACATTCTTAGGAAATAGTGGGTTCACAGCGAATTATCAGAACTATTTCAGTAAAACAGTAATATTGTGCTTTACCAATCGTACTTACAGGTTGTGGTTCGGAGACGCTTGCTGGTCCAAATAAAGATTAGAAGCCGACGAAGATAAAAGCCAAGATTAGAGAAGCAGTCCTCGGTAAAATGACGAGCACAACAAAAGGTTCGAATTGTATTGCTGTGGTATCGTGGAACACAGCATCTTCTCGACACAGAGATTGTTCGTATTTCGTGGGCAGGCGGGGATTATTGCTAATGTGTTACCCAGAGACGTAGATGGGTAACAAGCAGAAGATTAGAAAATATAATGACTCGTTAAGGCGATTCTGAGTCGACTCTTCGTCTTTTGATCTTTATTTATCATGCACTTTTTTGATTAACAACTTTGCAGACTGTTTACATTGAAGGATAGCTACCTTACAAACTGCAAAAGAGATATTTTTCGAAAACCCATATGACCTGCTCTTTAATGCCATCTTTTTTATGAGTATCACTGATACCAATACTACTGATGTCTCTATAAAATTGTTCCCCCCAATATTTAACTAAAAGCTACCAATTTCAACATTTATTAGACTTTAAATAATAACTTTAATTTAAATGAACTTCAATGAAACAATCTTCACATAAACCCATTATAATAAATGTCATATTTAGCTACCTGTGCCCTTCAGCATAAATATACAGAAATTGAAGTTATCAAACACTAAACTCTAAATTAAATATAGTTGAATCCTTAAAGCTATAAAAGTTATCGATTTCCTCTTTCCTTAAATAAAGAAACAATTATGTTCTTAAATTTGACTCATATAAAACATTACATGCATGCACAGTTTTAAGGCAGCTTTAATCACCTTTTTGGTAACTTCATGACTTGATCTGACCACGACATTGCATGCACAGTTTATTTTGCGCTTTGACATGAAATTATAAAGGCTACAGCACGCGCTGGTGCCTGTACCCTACAGTACCATTTCTGCGCTCGTTTGACTCGCGCCTGGCGCTGAAGTTAAGTTATAGCACGCATCTGAAACGTCTCCCATTTGATGTGGTCATAAAGACATTATTGTGCGACTAAATAAATGCACTTCTTGTCAAGAAAAAAGAGACAGAAGCAGCAGTTGGAAGTGGGGTGGCCAACCCTAGCCCCGCCCCTGCGTTAACTGCATTAAATATTTTAAACGCGTTAAACTGAAAAAATTAATCGCCTGCGTTAACGCGCTAATTTTGACAGTGCTAAAATAAATTTTCTGTGCATATTTCTAAGAAGTTGCAGTTTGCAGTTTGCTGAAACATTACTCAACTTTGCAGATGTATTTGTAACTGTGATTTATTAACGCTCAAGTCAAACCTTATTCTTCCAGTTTCTCCTTTAGCATAAACCAGATCAGCAGGACATTTATATCTCGACACAAATCCTCCATAATCATACAGTGTGCATTTATACAGCCATTCAGAGATGAACTCATCAATCTCACAAGTGAGTGGGTGGTCACTGGCGTGCTCCAGCGGGGCAGAGGGACTCGGTGGATTGAGTTAGAGGATGCTGAAATGTGTGCCGGGCGGCTCAAGGCCTCCAGCTTTATGAGGAACAATCCTCCACTTCCACTCAAGTGGCAAAAACACCATTAGTGCTCTCCACCAGGGAACAAATGATAGTACGAGCGGATTACAATGCCATTGTGCGTGTGTGAGTGAGTAGACGGCGAGGGTTTACTATCTAGCCGTAAGCCACAATGAGACGGACTGCTTACCTGCTCATACTTTGCTGCCTTCTGGGTATCGTTGAACAAGCGGAGATTCAGACGTGCTTTCTCCTGCAGAACATGCTGAAGCTCACTCTCCTGTCAAGACACACACACACACACAACACACACACAGAAAGGTTAGATTCTCAGTTTTGTAGTACACATTTTCAAATGCGCTTGTGTCTAGCAGAAATACTCACAGGCACACACTGAAAAACACACGTTTAGACAGCAGGGTGTATTCCTGGTAAGAACAGAGAGTTTCCAACACAGCTAGTGTTAGTCAATGCATTATTCATTTTGAGGAGAGCGAGACAGGGAGAGAGTGAGTGAGTAAGTGAGTGAGTGAAGACAGTAAGAGAGAGAGAGATGCTGCGGCCCATCTGTCTTAGAAAGACTGACACTGAGGGTTTGAACTACAGAGATCAGTAGTCAACTGAAATCATGCCGTCTCCACACAACACGCCTAGAACAGTCTACATAGACAAGGAAAAAAAGAACGAGAGAGAGAGAGTCCATCAGTAAATCAGCATAGCCTAAGTTACATCAATGGAAAAGAAAAATTGTTTCAGAGGAAGAGGAAATTATTACATTTTGATGCAAAATTATTAAGATTTTTATTCTGTAGAATAAAATGCTCCAATTAACTGTTCACAGTAAGTTCCTATTGACTTTAATTAATGTTACCTTTGTAATTTATTCCATTTTGATAAATGTATAAATGTTTGATTTTAATATAAATACATTTTGAAAGAAATTAATATTTTTATTCAGCAAGGATACATTAAACTTATCAAGTGACAATTGATCTATCTATCTATCTATCTATCTATAGTGACTACTGAAAATTCAGTTTTGCCATCACAGGAATACATTATATTTTTCAAATATACCTTAAATACATTTATTTTAAATCACAACAATGCTACTTTTGTTAATATTTTATTTATCAAAGGAACAACCTTGGCGAACATAACACTCTTCTTTCAAAATATTAAAAATACAAATTTTAGAGACCTATGGAATTTAATTTATTTTAGTGCAAAACATTTTAAATCACAATAATACTACTTTTGTTAATGTTTTATTGATCAATAAAAATATTGAATAATAAAAAAATATTTTAAAAATATAAAAAATATAGACCTATGGAATTTAATTTAATTTATTTTACAGCAAATTATTTAAAATTAATTTTGATTTGTTTTTTATATTCTTCACATGATCATTTTTTACTATTATTTCACAGATTTTGCATTGTATTGTCATACCAATGAAGCACACTAAACTGAAATCAAAACATAATTGAGAGAGACAGACAGAGAGAGGAAGCAAGATTGAGAAGTACAAGAAAGTAATGCTGATGTGGCACTACCCAAGAGAGGAGAGAAGCACACAGCACACCAGACAGCATGCTGCTTTTATGACTGAATCATCTGTACACCTTTAAATAGCTCTGTATAATTAGGTTAACTTCTCAAATGATTGGTTAATCTTGAATGCTGCAGAAAATTTGCATACGCCCCCTAACCAAACCCCCATCCTACACAGCTTTCTCCCCTCACTGCACGTGAAAAACTTAATTACACTCCACCAACATCCACGTGGTCTGACTCAAGCGTCATTTACTCAAGTTTTCTTCAGGCAAGAGCCACAAATGTGAGTATTCATGTGTTCACATGTGCATCTCCGTGTGTGTTTGTGTGTGCGGCCTCAGATATGTCGGAGCATAAAAATATTGACTTCCTGGTTTATGCTCTAAAGAAGAAAAATGTATCGCTCATGGTGGAGATTCCCAACCACAGAGAAGAGAAAATATATGTTCAGTATTTTACTTTGTTAAATCTATAAAACATCAAAAATTATCTTTTACTCCAATAAAGCTCAATAACAAGTAATGTAATTGTAAAAGTAATGTAGAGCAAAATAATAATAATACACAAATAAATAAATAGGTTCAAACGTTAGTGACTTTCCTTCATACAAGCACACATTAGACATGTGCCGGTATTTGGTAATGCGGTATATCACGGTAATGAATATGCACGATATTGTTAACGTGGGCACTTCAAAATACTGTGAATAATTATTACAAATTATTCAGAATTTTGAATGCATTTTAAGAATACTTTTCCCATCAACTGGTCACAATGCACCCCTGTATGCTGCGTGAAAGACGCATGCGCTCTCTGATGTAAACAAGCATAGATGAGAAGTGCATGGCGGGACGTATTTTTAAACAAAGATTAATAACTTCTGTAGCAAATGTAGCTATTGCTCATTGTTAATGTTAATGCATTAACTAAGGTTAACTAATGAGATCTTATTGTAAAGTGATACCTATTGGTCTTTATAATTCTTTTGCACTTTAATCTGTGTAAGATTTTTAACTTTATACATTTTTTTGTGTATTGCTTTATTGTTTTTAAATGTTCAGTTATTTTTGTTATAAGAAAAAAAGTTATTAAACCTGTTATACTGTATTATAACAACACTTTTTTGCAACTAAATTTTAATATCGTGATAACACCGTATACCGTGATAAAAAGCTTTAGCCATCGCAACATGAAAATTTGATACCGGCATATCCCTAACACACATACATAGACACACACACACACACTCTTGCATCATAACAGAGGTAAGATCACCTCCATTTCTCTCCATTCACTCTCATCGAAAGGCCATTGTCATTTCAGCTAGCGTCAATTCGCTGCAGTCACTTCCAATCTCTCCTGAGCTGCACATGATTGCATTGGCACCCCACTCTCTGAACATCGATCCAAAAAAACTCTGAACGGATGATAGACTAAGCCTCGATTGACCCGGTGTAGAGGAGAGAGAGAGAGAGAGAGAGAGCTAATGATTACAGATTAGACACATATAAACTTGATTCACATCGCATGTGTAACACTAACAAATTGCATGAAGCAGCCCAGGAGACTCAGCACTGTTTCTGCAGCACCATCATTTGCATGAGCAAATTATGAAAAAAACAAATGATAAAAAAGAGAGGGATGCCATGAGGGAGGTCGTTACAAAAACATTCTATTCATTCTGCTGGAAGAGCCTGCTAATAATGTATTAGAAGTGAAGCATACACTAATTACACACACACGCACACACACACACGTCTGGTTGACTATCCTTGTAGAGACTCCCCATGGGGGTAATGGTTTTTATACTCTACAAACTGTATTTTCTATCACCCTACACCTAAACCTACCCCTCACAGAAAACTTTCTGCATTTTTACAATCTCAAA